CTAATTAATTATAATTTTAAATCTATTTAATACGAGTATTATTATTATTATTATTATTTTAAACTGCTAAATTTATATTTGGAATCGTTTGTAATTTTATGTAGTGAAAGAAAAAATTTGAAAAAATAAAAAAAATGATTTATATTGTAAAGTTCCATTATAAAAATCGAAATTATTAATTTTCACAGCAATTACTGAAAACTACAAATATACAAAATGATTGTTGTACTTTTAAATCGTTTGTAGTTTTATGTAGTGAAGAAAAAATTTAAAAAATAAAAAAAAATATTTTGTAAAGTTTCATTATAAAAATCGAAATTATTAATTTTCACAGCAATTACTGAAAACTACAAACATACAAAATGATTGTAGTACTTTTAAATCGTTTGTAGTTTTATGTAGCGAAAGAAAAAATTTGATAAAATAAAAAAAATTATTATTTTGTATAGTTCAATTATAAAAATCGAAATTATTAATTTTCACAGCAATTACTGAAAACTACAAACATACAAAATGATTGTAGTACTTTTAAATCGTTTGTAGTTTTATGTAGCGAAAGAAAAAATTTGATAAAATAAAAAAAAATATTATTTTGTATAGTTCAATTATAAAAATCGAAATTATTAATTTTCACAGCAATTACTGAAAACTACAAACATACAAAATGATTGTAGTACTTTTAAGTCGTTTGTAGTTTTATGTACTGAAAGAAAAAATTTGAAAAAATTAAACTTTTAAATCGTTTGTAGTTTTATGAAGTGAAAAAAAAAAAAAAATTATTTTGTAAAGTTCAATTATAAAAATCGAAATTATTAATTTTCACAGCAATTACTGAAAACTACAAACATTCAAAATGATTATAGTACTTTTAAATCTGAAAACTGAAAAACCACTCACATCACAAAGTTCACATCGTCACATTTGAGTGAACAAAAAAATTAAATTTTATGAATTTCTGAAAGACTAGTTCATTTTGGTCTCAGCAACATTGGCTATTCGGCTCAGAACCTGTGCATGGACAGGAATGACAAAATAGTGATCTAAATGAAGCGAATTTTGAGCGCTGTTGCCATTATTTTGTATGTTTGTAGTTTTCAGTAATTGCTGTGAAAATTAATAATTTCGATTTTTATAATGGAACTTTACATTATATTTTTTTTTATTTTTTCAAATTTTTTCTCTCACTACATAAAACTACAAACGATTCCAAATACAAATTTAGCAGTTTTAAATAATAATAATAATATAAAATAAATTTAAAATTATAATTAATTAGTTTTTTTGTAAAAACCTTAAAACTACAAAAAAATAAAAGTCACTACAATCATTTACATCGGTTGTAGTTTTAATTCATAAAAATATTTTTTTTATTTTGATATTAGTCGGGTTCCAAAATGACGGAGCCAACAAACCCTTTTATGTATTTTTTTTACATTTTTAGAGAGTACGCGTTTATTGTAAGTTGCAAAGGTAAAAGCAAACAGTTATTAATAGAACTTAAAAGCATTTAAATGGTAGTGTACTCTAAATAATAATTTAATATAAATAAGAGTTATTTGGTTGAATCGGTCATAAACAAGTTTTTATTTAAGCTCTTCATATATTTCGGACAGTACAATTTTTCATTTTGTGGTGCAGTCAATATTAATTTGATCCTCGTTCAAAAAATATTTTATTTTTCATGAAAGGAATGTATAACGTCTATTCCCATTTTTTAGCAAATCTTTATTTTATTAAAAGCTCATAAATTGTTATATCTTGAGAAGGGAGACATAGTTCCCATAGCCCTCTCCGTGGTAAGTTGAAATTTTCTGCATATTTAAGAGAAGTAAACTCAAATTTTCTTCTTGTGTTTTTTGTATGAAGAGATGTAAATACGTATAATTTAAGGTCCAACAACAATCACAAGCCAGTCACTGATACTAGGATTTTGCGCAGTAGATAAGTTGGCGGACCCAATAATCTGCTGCGCGGAATCCTGGTGTCAATAACTGGTTTCTGGTCGTTGTTGGAACAGACTTTTAGGGCCGTATTTATAAACAAAACTCAGCTGAGTCGAACTTGGGTAAGTCGTCCTTGAACGAAAATCGAAGTTCGGTCATATATAGGCATTTCTTTATAAGCTTACCAGAACATACTTCTGTAACCAGAGCATTTCTTTATAACGTTTGGTTACTCGGCTTTGGTTACATGTTACCAAAGCATATGTTGCTATATCTAACGAGGCATTTATTTATAAGCTTACTAGAACATACTATAATAAAAAATAACAAAGTCAAAACATCCTAAAATTTCTAAAATTCAAATTCCGGTTAGAAATCCCCAAACTTAAATTAAATTTGACATATGACATTCAATAATAGGGAAACCATGGTATGCGTAATGTCACCACAGTAACCACAATACTGTAACCAAGTATGTTGTAGTATGCTTATAAAGAAATGCCTTATATCGCGTGAATTTAGAGATGGTAGTAAAAAATCCGTAAATGTACATAACAGTTACAGATTTGCTAATATCCATCTCTAAATTCCAGTCTAACACCAGAATCACCTAGAACTTTAGAGAAGTTGTAACCGAACTCGATTTTAGTTCAAGGACGACTTACCCAAGTCCGACTCAGGTAAGTTCTGTTTATAAATGCGGACCTAAGTCTTTTCAAAGTGGGTACTTTGTTGAGAAGTGTCCTTTTTTTAAAAATAGGCAATGTGCAAATTTAACACGTTGTATATCAAAAAATAGTCATAATATGGAGTTGGCTCCGAGAATGTCTTTGTTTAAAAATTTAAAAATTAAATTTCAACCCAGTACCATATTCCCCCATAATGAAAGTGCGAATACCTTGCCAGACTTTGCCCCTTGCTGATAGCGCCCCTGGAAGAGACATATACCAAATTTATACATGATTAACATTGTGCCATGTTTAAAAGAAATAAAGGACATTACAGGATTTCATTATAAAAGTTATACCACCACTTAATATGAAAACCAAATCAGTAGTTTCAATAAAAACATTGTGCATAAAATTATTAAAATACAGCACAAGCTACTCGTTGGCGAACCCGTAAAATAAAAATAAAATGATCTACAAAATCTGGCAACCAAGCAAGCATTTTCTGAAAATATTGAACAATGGGCCCGTTTCATTTCATTTTTGAATGTGAATTATTTATATATTTATAAAGATATTAAACTCTTTTGTCTGGTGGTACTTTTCCCGTTAAGATATTTTTGCTAGAAGTATGCAAATTCCCATAAAATTCTTTCAGTGACTCATTGCGTCAGAAAACCCCTAATTCCCTTCAGGTCTTGTATCGGTTAATAGTTAAAAGGGCGCGGTTGTCGGATGTATCATTGCACCACCATTCCTCTTCTGCATTTATTAAAGAAATTTACATGATAAAAATATATTATTTTTTAAAAATAATGTGTTTATATTTTCAGATAAAGCTGGAAGCCTTACCTTTTTTAAATTTTAATAAAAACAATTAGTATTACTCAAGCTGAATATTACCAGATCGAAATTTTATTTGAGAAAATGTATCTGGTAAACGTGACAACGTTGTAAGTACTTCTAAATAGTGTTGTCTACCACTTCTAGAAATAAATGCAACGTTGCCACGTTTACGAGATAAATATTGCAAATCAAATTTCTACTTTTTGATTATGGTCTGGTTAATTTTCAGCCTGAGTAATAATAATTATTTTAATTGAAAAGTAAAAAATAAGCTCCCAGCTTTAAATCTGAAAATATAAATTCATGATTTTTAGAAAAATAATGGAATTTTACTATTTAAATTACATATATAAATGCAGAAATGCTATATTAGGGATACTTCCGACAACCTCGCCGTCTTTAAGCATAACCGATACGAGACGTGAACGGAATTAGGGATTTTCTGACGCAATGAGTCACTGAAAGAATTTTATGGGAATTCCCTTACTTCTAGCAAAAATATCTTAACGGGAAAAGTACCACCAGACAAAAGAGTTTAATATCTTTATAAATATATAATTAATTCACATTCAAAAGTGAAAGTGAACGGGCCCATTGAATTATTACGCAGAAGTGCATCTAATCGCTATCTATCGCCAACTTAGTTAATTAATAGTTTTTGTTACGAATATTATGGCGTGCAAATTCCGTCTTAAATTTGAAATAACTACAAAACTAAATAATATGAAATTATTTTCGATATTTCAAAAGTTACACTTATTATTCTAAACATTTGAACCAACCTGTATACAGACACCCAACATAGCGAGGCGATTTTTACACATCTCAGAAATATTTTCCTTAATCAATACGTCCGCTGGCGCAATAGGCACATTCCTGAGAAAAAAGACAGTTGGCAAAAGGTGGTCAACAGTGTTAAGTTTTAGTTGCAATGGATCGATTTATGGCGGCTACATTGAGTTTTTGTATTCATGCGTTTTATAAAAACAATGAGTCTTATTTTCTTGTGCTTCCTTTGTACATAAATCATTATAATGATGTCCCAACTGCAAATTTAATTAAATATTGGTTAATAAAGTTTAAGAGTACTGGAAATTAAATTTGCACTTGGGATATCTTTCATTCTTGCTATGTTATAATGATTTCTGTACAAACGACGTACAAGAATATAAAACTCATTGTGTATATAAAACATACGAATACAAGAAGTATGTTGCAGCCCCGTAAATTGCTCCATTGCAACTAAAACTTAACACTGTTGACCACCGTTTGCCAACTGCCTTCTTTCTCGGGAATGTGCCTATTACGAATTATAAAACGAAAATATTTCTGAGACACCTTATATAATTAATATAAATATTCAAAAGCAAATAGAAGCTCCTTAAAATTTAATATGAATTTGGCCTATAAGCTGTTAAAATATCGGAAAATATAAAAGAATAAAAATTCATAATTTAAGTTTATTGGTATGATTATGTTGTTCAATTCGAAATGCGAGAATGGTTGATGTTCTAATATTTTCTAATTATTTATGTTTTTTAAGATGAGAACATAAATCCGATGATGGTATTCGAATTCATGCCCCACGGGGATCTTGCGGAGCTCCTGCGTTTTCAAAAACGATCAGATTTGGACAAAGATCTACCTGAATTACGTAAAACCGATCTTCTGACGATAACTCTGCAAATAGGTAGGGGAATGAAATATTTGGCATCGCAGCGATTCGTCCACAGAGACTTGGCTTGTAGAAATTGTTTGGTAACCGAAGGTCCCATAGTCAAGATTGCAGATTTTGGTATGAGTAGAGATGTTTATACTTCTGATTATTACAGAGTAAGAAAATTACTATAATTATAATTTTAATATTTTCTCATTGGTGTCAATGGCAGTTTTTAGTCTTTGTTACGGTTTTATATTATTATTGTTACCGTTTTGGCGAGAGACAGAACTGTAAAGATGCCTCCTTGTAACTAAAAATAGTACTTTCCTTGCCTTGCAGGAGGTTTTTAAACATTAGTGTTGATCCTCTGAACGTCTGATAGTGCCAGTCTGTGTACTGTACACTAAAACCCTAAAAATACGAGAAATACAAATTTCGTACCGAATATGATTTTGATAATATATGTTAGACATAACTTTTTTTAACTTACTTTTTAAAGCGAGTTTCTATCATTGATAATGAGCATTACGCAAGGGGGACTTCAGGTCGAATTTTCGGGGGTGGGAGCATAACAAATAATAATTCCCTTTATAGCATATTAAAAAAAGGCTCATGGAATGTAAGAATTTTAATCTTTGGGAGGCATGGCCCTCTGTCTTTTAGAGTCGAATCCGGGGCAAGTGCTCCACCGTACATTTGGTCCATCGATACATTTGAGACCCTCTCTTGATTTTTCGAATAATGATCAAATATAAGTGAGACAGTTGCGACCCTACCTCTATTAATGGGTTACCTGCTAATGCCTTCCCGAAAGCAAATGAGTAATATATTTATTAGTAATACTGAAATTTAATTGTGAAAAAGTAAAAATTATCTTTAAAAGAAACTATAAGTAGATTTGCTGGACAGAATGAAATAAAAAATTGTGTTTGGTTTACTGATATTATATAATTTCCCTTCACACTTTTCATAGATATGCCGGCGTGTTTTTTTTTTATTTCTTTTTTGTTTTTTTTTGTTTTGTTGTTTTTATTGGTTTTTTGTTTTTTTTTGTTTTTTTTTGTAATGTTATATACATATTTACATATTTTCAAATAATGAACGGTTACTCCAGCTTTTGTACAAAGGCAAGAGTTTTCAAACATTTTAAAAGATCATTTGTTTCCGCATACTCGTTCATTATCTTATCAATGCGCTCATCTAATTGAATGTACGTCTGTTTTCTTCGTTTTCCCTCTTAATTTAATGTTTTTCTTTTCGATAATAAATCCGAATATTTAGAATCGCCTTTTATGCACTTAATTAATTGTATAATATGTGGGTGAGAGTTTTTTATGGCCATATTTAATCTGTGATTCCAGCCTTCCACGGAGTTGTTTGTTCGATGCTTTTGACCAAAGATGTTCCACATATCAATATCTAGGACTGAATTTTCCATCCATTGTTTAATGAACTAATCTTGAAATTGCTGTAACTTTGAAGTAGTAAAGGCACTTTCCATAATGCTCAACCAACCATTTTGTACTTCCATGGGAGGCATATATGCTAATGCTGCACACAAACGTACATATACTATATGTACTCTTGTACTCTCCTCCATAAGCATTGATTGAAATGGAAGTTTCAACCTCTAAATCTAGTGTTTGGAAATGTGCTTCTCAAAGCTGCTATTGCAGCCATTTCAAAGTCAATTTTTACTGTTTCCGGCGACCACCTGGGAATTTTTTCTTTTAATATTTTACACAATCTAATATAGGTTTTCTTCTGCTTGATTTGCAGTAGCGCAAGCATTATAGGAACTATGTTCGTTTCGGTGCAGCTGCTTCCAATGTCTACATGAAACGAATATAATTGCGAGAATTGTTTACAGCAACTTTGAAAGTTCCGTCTATAAATATTGTTTCAGCTAAACTGAGGATTTGGTCCACAATTCATTCTAGGTAATGAGACGTAATAGACCCATTATTATTTCGAATCAACCAAGTGTCTTACAGTTACAGTAAACGTATGTACTTTTAACTCTGAAACACCCTGTATATATCAGTTACTCAAAAAATCTGCTTCCATTATTCGACTTCTGTTTGGGATTAATAGGAATAAGGTCGCAACTGTCTCACTTAAATTTTATCATTATTCGAAAAATTAAGAAAGGGTCTCAAATGTTTAAATGTATTGAGGAGTCAAATAAACGAGGGCGCATCTTTTACAGTTACCCGTGGCATTACGTCCTCTAGCTGTGTAGTTAGGAACTTAAAAGTGACTTCCAGCGATTTCTAAGAACGATTTTTGTTAAAAAAAGTAACATACCTATGTACAATAAATTCTTCATTATATATGGTCGGCGTCTTTTCTTATTTGGACTCCCAGTACATAATATGTAGACTATGACTATGTTAAATTTAGATTGTTTAATATATTATTATTTTATAAAAATTGTACTTACAGGTGTTGTATATTAACTCACTATTTATTATGAGGCATAGTTAAACCTAAGATTTTTAAAGTAAATCGTTAACTAAAAATCTACAAATAATTTACTGTAAATACGTTTTTGCAAATAACATTTGTTTTTATACGCCTATGGCATCCATCAAAACTAAACTCCAAAGATACTAGATATTTATGAACGCGAGACCGAAGCACCGAGGCGACCGCGTAAGGCGACCGAAAAGAGTCTCTACCTACGTGTGAATTACTTGTAATTAAATAAAGCACATTTGGGATCAAGCGACCGATTCAGAGACAGTGACAACACTTTCAACACGTAAACATTAGTGCATCGGTCGTTTGCCGCTATCGCTTGCATCGGTCTCGCGTTCCCAAATTGTACCCTCATAAACAAAACATGAATGAAACAGGTTTTACAACTCTTACAAATATCATTTGTTTTTAATTGTGCTGCTGTCAGACGTCACATTCTTTCTACGGTGCACATTTCGATAACAAAATAGCATAATTCCATTACTACTGGTTAAGAACACCGTAAATTTGGCAGCAATGTTCAATCAGAATATTGTATTTCTGCCAAGGACGTAATGAGAACTCATATTGGCTTCCGAAAGTTTGTAAACAATCCTGTCTTAGTTACATATCTGATTCCAACGAATATTTACAAATTAAGAGAGCAGTATAATTTTAACGAGGAAGGAATGGTACGAACACTATACTTCGATGGCTAAGAGGACAAATATTGTGTGTCCATATTTGGGAAAATGGGATAGGTACGATTCTATGTTCTTTGAGGTGAAATCTTCGTGGATTCCAAATATAGTACTTACGGCCACTTCAAACGGATTACCAGTTAGTAAGGTAATACTAATACAAACTATACAGATCGTCATAGTCACCTCCAACTTTCAAATCGATTTTACTTACGACATTTTTGAACATGCAACATTTTCCCTCTTAGCCATCGACTTGTTCTATGGCTTTAAACATTTTTTATAATTTTAACATTTTGTTAGAAAAGTTATTTGAACACATTAAACGATGTATATTAAAATAACTTATTACTATTTCAGATTGGTGGTTCACGTCTTCTTCCAGTACGCTGGATGGCTCCAGAAAGTGTTGTGTACGGCCGATTCACACTAGAATCGGACATCTGGTCATATGGAGTTGTCCTATGGGAAATATTCAGCTTTGGCAAGCAACCTTATTATGGTCATAGTAACGAGGAAGTTGTCCACTTAATCATCGATGGCATAATGCTAATTCCACCAGAAGACTGTCCATCAACAATATGCGATCTCATGAAGAACTGTTGGAAAACAGAGCCCAGAAATAGAACAACTTTTCCATTAATCTGTGAGAGACTGGAAGAGATCTATAAAATGTCGCAAAGTTTAAGTTGCTCTTTTGAGACTGAAAAAAAGAAATTAAAAAATTTGCCAAGACCTCCACCTTTACCATCAGTGGATGAACTTGATATAGTGGACGGCCAGGGGTATTTGAAACCTATCGAAACAGAACCAGTTTCATACCTTGAGACAGTGTGTGATTGAAAACATTATTGTATAATATGTAAAACAATATTAATATTTATCTAGTCAAATTAAAGTAAAACATTATTCGAATGGAAATTGATGTTTCTGACGGACCCTTAGTTATGAACCTCAAACCTCAAACTTTTGCCTTACTTTCTTATTATCCCAATACGGTTTGGAAATATATGAATTAGGACATGGCGTCTAAAATGGAAAAATTAAACATAACAAAGTATACAAGCGCCTTGGTCGTGATTCAAATAAGTCCCCCATACCACAAATCGTAGAAAAAATAACATATATTATTTCATTATAATTATGAAATTATGATGTGCCTTTTATATCCTATATATTTAAATGTGTGATATTATAATGTAAGATTTTTTAAATAAATTGTACAATCATAGATTTTAGACAATTATGTTCTTATACCATTGTTTAAAAACAAAATTGTGCCTAATATTAGGAGTGCTTCACAAAAAATGTATCTAAAGTAGGCCTAGGAAAAATCCACGTGAGTCGAGCGTACAATTTTTCTTCTTTCTAAGTGTCATGGTGGATTTTTTTTTGGATTAATCTTTAAATTGTGCAGCAAAACGTTACTTTTCAAGTAAGTTGGAAAAGCGCTTTGCACACATTTACATCTTATACTGTTGGGTCGTTCTTGTTGATTTCTGCCATCAACTCCAACACTCTCGTTAGGGGAGGACGTTTTAGTCAAATCAAATTTCACCTTTACTTTTAACTGTATTTATTTTCACAACAAACTACCTTTTGGTTGTATATCACAATTAACAACAATTTTAACAATAACTTTTAACACTTAGAGTTGGATGAGGCAGTAAATTGAGGAAATCGAACTAAATTAGAAGAGATGAGTTGCATGGACATGGACGTCCACTCACCCGGAACGATTACATTGCAATAATTATTAATTTTTACGCTATTGTGTAGTGACTTTCATTATTGTACCTACCGTGCTTATTTCGTTATTAAAATAATTTATTTTACATAATGAACCTAGTAAGAATTTTCTGTCTGTCATTGTTACTTTAGTATGTGTTTAATTCTTATAAACCAGACAACTAAAATTGATTAATTTTCATAAATTTCCCAGTATATTAAGCTCCCATGCTTTGGAACATATATGAAAACTCATTCAGTTTCGCTTCTTGGGTAAGTATTCTTTGACCAGAGTAACGTATCCGAAACGTCAATGCAGTTTGTCAAACGGGACAAATTATGCAAATTTCACTCTACAAAATCTTCCCGAAATTTTGTTTTGTGAAATTTAGACACATAATTTCTAAAGAAACAGTAAAATGTTTTCAAAAAATGTTCACCACTTGTGGTATTACCCTTTTATTATTTAATTTGTTAATGATTTAAGGACACAATTTAATTTTTTTGAATTTTACTAATCACAATAACCATTCTAAGCGTGATTGAAAAATCGCGACATCGTCTTCTTTTTCTCTGAATTGACGTTGACTATCATTAACGATTCATACGTACGTAAAAGTTTAAATATGCTTCTGTGAATACCTCGGTTAATACGAATGTATTTCTAACACTCTTAACACTCTTAACACTCTTAACAACGTTTTGACATAATATACTTATTAATTAAAAGTGTAGGTAGTGGATTCATTGTTAATTTTATTAAGATCATTTTCACATGTAAGTATTGCATGGAATACAACTCTTGGTATCGGGACTGGAAGTTTTGAGCATAAATTAAAAAAAAATAATGAAGGATAAAATAATTTCTGGCTTATAAAAAATGTCCAGGAGATGCGTTTTTGACATGTTTGTCAAGCTGAAAAACAAAGAAGGCAGAATGTATTATTTATTATTAAGGAAGTGCATTTATAGAGTTTTTTGTACCGCATGCTCTTAAACTGCGTTTTATTGTTTTATTGATAACATTATCAACAATCTCATAAGCCATTGCACGAAATGTCTGTCAAAAATTATCTTTTGACAATACGTCGAGTGAATTAACCGAGGAATTAATGAGTGCGATTATTGATATTTCCAATACCAAGGGTTGTATTCAATAAATGATAACAAGAAAATTCACGGAACATTTGACAGCTCAGTAATTTACAGCTATAGTACAAAACCTCCAATTACATAAGATAACAACTTTGCTTTGTAGCATTAAAAGAAATCGATGGTATTATATAGTAAAGAATCAAGTCATAACAAAGTTGATTGAAAAAAATATTTGAAACATTTGTTAGAAAAGAAAAAATGGGGATTAACCACAAATCGCATTGCTCTTGGAGAGTTCATTGTGGAAAAAACTGTAGATTAATTCATAGTTGTATAACACCATCCAAACGTACCAACTATGGTTATCAGCTATTAGTTATATGTACAAAATATATGATTATCGAATGAAATATAACAAGTGTTTTAAAGATTATCGAAATATAAATTCTTTCGATGTTGAGAAACAAATAATATTGCTTGAGTGAGGTTTCATTACATTATTTTTGTAAGAAAGAAGGAATGTTCGATAATCATAGATTGTACGAGTTGCATTTGTAAGGTCCAACGAGTACAAAACAGGACGTGTCTGAGGCTGATTCTGGGACGAGGACAACCGACATCCTCACCTCCTATTAAGGACTTAGTAATCAAAATATCTGAAAAATCCTATGACAAATGTCTTCCACCAGATCTCAAAAGAGAAATCCTAAATGTCAACGAAAGCAACAGTGCTAATAGGAGACATGGTTGTCTGAACAAAAATCTACCAATTTACAGACGTCGACAAAATAACGCAAACACGCGTTCAATCCCTTGCTAACAGAATCACACTCTGATTGGCAAAACGGGGAGGATGACCTTCCGAGCAGATACCAAGTCGTCAGAGATTGAACATCGAAAATCCAAATCAACGACACTTTTCGCTCACACTCAGACAACGACACTTCTGGTTTTTTCAAATACTTCCAGACAAAACTAACATACGTCACAAATACAAATCCAGGTGAGTTACTGCGTTCAGCGTAAAAATCAAATCATGCTAATTGGCCGTCAGATAGTGACCGATTTAGGTGCCCCATTTTCGCATACAAGCCTCGAAGAGGGCTAAAAGTATATCTAGATTGAGTAGAATAAAAGAAAATGTACGAGTGGCTCTAAAGGATAACACATGGAAAATTTGATTTTCCTTATCAAAAAAATTTTCAGCCCCCAAAATGCATTTTTTCATTTGGATCATTCAAGAAAGTGTTTTTCAGACAAGTAACGATACATTTGATGGGCTTGTGTGGAAAAATCGGGTAAAATCTTCATTTTTCCCTAGAAGATTACTCCCTTATTTCAACTCTTTAGCCACTTGCAACATTAAAGCCTTTGGTTTTCCGAAGCATAGTTCTATTAATTAATCATATAGTGAACACGTGAACACGTGCGTGGAAATATGGGCAACAAATAACCTTTCATTTTTGTTTGGGAAAATCGAATTTTCAATTTGTTATCCTCAGGAGCCACTCTTAAATTATCGTTCATTCTTCTTAAATTCGATGTACTTTCTAACCCTCTTCGAGGCTTGTATGCGAAAATGGGGCACCTAAACCTGTTACTATCTGACGGTCTATAATAATGTCATTTGACAAGGAGTTGCTAAAACACCAAAAAATAAGTTAAGCAATCTAAATAGTTTACAGGCGGTCATCTGTCTGGTACCCAGGTAGGTATCCCCGGAACCTACAAGAAGAAATGATTGTAAATTGCAATGTATATATTTTAAAATAGAAATAAAGACTTTTTAATAATAAATAATAATTGCATTTGTAAAGATTATTAATTGTCTTTCATTTTTTTTATTTCTTGTAATTCGCAGATTGATTCATGTTTATTTTATTTGCTTTATCTGACAATGACGTTTATGATATTTTATAATTCGCAACAAAGAATACACTGATTTTCCATCTTATAGAAGATGCCAAAAACAAGACGAACACACATTTAACCATTCAAAAATGTATTTTTACTAGTTGAATAATCGATTAAAAGTATAGGAAATTATTACATTTCCAGCAAACGAAAACATGTAACATTATGTATTATTTACGTATAGTAGTTCCGTGTTATATAATAAGGTAACTTACATGTTACATAATATCTCACGTGATTACTATAAAATATGTCCTAATTTTGTTATATGTATAAGTGTAGCTAGTGGCGGATCGTGAATTGTGATTATTTTATCTGGAGTTACTTGTAAACCAAAGTTTTTGATAACAGGTTTGTTCTAATAACGATCAGAAATCAGTCAATGCCACCAGGGTTCTGCGCAGTAGATTATTAGGACCCCCAAATTATATCCCAGGCAGCACACTGACGTTACAGAGACGTCATTTATTGGTCATGAGTTACGTCATTTTTCACCAAAGGTCTGACGTCAAAATGACGTCCAGCTCACGTCATTATGTCACGGCACAGTGACGTCATTTTGTGACGTTACTGTAACGTCAATTTGTACCGTTACTGTGACGTCAATTTGTGACGTTATTCTGACGTTAATTTATGCCGTTACAGTGACGTCAATTGGTGACGTTACTGTAACGTCAATTTGTAAAGTTGTTGTGACATTACTGTGACGTCAATTTGTAGAGTTGCTATGACGTCAATTTGTGACGTTACTGTGACGAAATTTTGTGAAGGTAATGTGACGTTAATTTGTTAAGTAAATATGACGTCTATTTGTGACGTTACTAACATGGTGGCTCTGTAGGGATTATAGGAAATAATATTACTAATAAATAATAACAGCTTTTATTATAAATTTGTATAAAAAATCATTAAAACTAAACATGACTTCTGAAAAAAATGGAATGCAAATTTCGGCTGTCATTTGATAACGGAATTTAAGAACATTGTATATTTTATCAAACGGCACCTGTGCCAAGCACTATCCTGAGCAAAATGGTTAAAAACAAAATAATTTCTATTTAAAAATCACACAAGACATGACAGCGATAATTTTGTTTACCCTGAAAAATTTTTCCTTGAAAATAACATTCAAATATTTCTTGAGTATACCGTTAAAGGGAAACATTTTCTTCCCCTTAACATAGCACAAAAAAACATATATCCATACTTAATAAAAAGCATCAAAAATATGAATCAATTTTTGCTGGTTTGAAGATTTAATTATATACTCATTGTTGTGATTCATTTTTACAGGTTGTCATAAAAACTACTATGAATATTCTTTAATCGTAGTTTTTTGTCAACCTCCCAGACAGCACACTGACGTTACAGAGACGTCATTTATTGGTCATGAGTTACGTCATTTTTCACCAATGGTCTGACGTCAAAATGACGTCCAGCGCACGTCATTATGTCACGGCACAGTGACGTCATTTTGTAACGTTACTGTAACGTCAATTTGTGACGTTATGTTATGTTGATAATGGGGTGTTAATACACTGCGACCTAAAAGATCTATTGTGCCCCCTTCTGTCGCCACTGCACTAAGGAAATGTCTCAATGCCTATAGCGACCCTTCCAATCCTATTTTCTCAAGGAAGTGTAGGATTTGAAGTGGCTTCAAGTTAGGTAAGTCTTCCTCTTCTGTTTGATATCCTCCTAGATATAGTGCCCTTGGATTCTGGAGTGCTACACATTCAGTTAGGATGTGAATGGAGGTTTCGTCCTCCTCCTCACAGAATCTGCACTCACTATCCTCTACTACTCTCAGTTTACTTAGGTGTCCTTTTAGTCGGCAGTGCCCGGTAAGGATCCCTGTTACAATACGTAGCCTGTTCTTGCTCAGGCAGATGCAGGCTTTCGATCTTTTTTTGGTTATATTCATCCAGAAGTATATTGGCCTGTCTCAGCCCCAAGAGATTGTTCCAATTATCGGTTCTTCTACTACCCAATTCTTTTTTAATCTCTTCTAATATTATGTTACTGCTGATACCGCAGAACGACTCAGGTCCTAGAAAGGGTGTTTGAGCCCCTTTCCTTGCAAGACTATCTGCAATCTCGTTACCCTGAACCCCGTTGTGTCCCGGGACCCAAGTGAGAGTAACTCTATTTTTCTCGCCTAGCTCATTCAATTGTTCTAGGCATCTCCATACCATTTTTGAGCTGATTACGTAAGAACTCAGCGCTTTGATGGCTGCTTGACTATCGGACATGATGATAATCTCTTGTCTATGATAGTTTCTCTCGATGTTAAACTGGATACACTTCTCGATGGCGTAAATTTCCGCCTGGAAGATGCTTGGGTATTTTCCCAAGCTTTCGGAGTGCTTGGTTCTCGGCCCATACACTCCTATTCCAGTTCCTTCTATGGTTTTGGAACCGTCCGTGTACCACTGAATAGCACGTCTTTCGGTTGCAAGCGCGATGGATTCTTGGCTCCATTCTTTCTTGCAGCCCAGCTCTGTGGTTTTGAAGTTTTTCACAAAATTGTACTTCTTTTGCATTTCATCCTGGGGCATGTCCCAGGTATCTTTAGTCCTGAAGCAAGTAGACTTTCATCTGATTACTCCGCTCCTGATCATTCTATATCGTGTTCTTTTTGCCACATTCTCTATCATCAAATGTAGAGGGGTGAGGTTTAAGATCACCTCCATTGCGGCCGTAGGACAGGTTCTCATTGCACCAGTAATGCAAACACAGGCTAGTCTTTGTACTTTTGAGATATTAGCTCTCGTAGTAACTAAACTAGTTCTGTTACTCCAGGCTATAGCCCCGTAAGTGATGATTGGTCTCACTATTGCAGTATACATCCATCGCAGTATGTTTGGGTTACATCCCCATCGTTTACCCGCCATGTTTCTGCATACCATTAGGGCTTTTGTGGCCTTATTTACTACTTCCTTCTCATGTGTGTTCCAGAGAAGTTTGTTGTCCAGGGTTAGGCCTAGATATTTGACTTCATTTTTCCATTCTATATCTATCCCGTCTAATTTAACAGTTTTGAGATTAAGTTTTCTTTTCCTTGAAAAGGCTACTAGTGTTGTTTTTGTAGGGTTTATACTAAGTCCCACTTCACGGCACCATCTTTTGGTATGTTCTAGTCCTCTTTGGACTATATCACACAGGATATTACTAAACTTGCCACTAGCAAATATGACTATGTCGTCGGCATAACCTTGACAGGGTATGCCGAGGTCAGTCAATCTGCATAGAAGTTCGTCTACGATTAGGCTCCACATTAGTGGGGATAGAACTCCTCCTTGTGGACATCCTCTGATTGTGCAGATGGAGATGGTGTCCTGCCCTATCTGTGTCTCTGCAGTTCTCGAAGATAACAGCTGAGCCATCCATCTGGATGTGATGTTATCTACTCCTCTGTATGCAAGTGCTCTTTTTACAGATTCGTGTGGCGTGTTGTCAAAAGCTCCTTCTATGTCTAGAAAGGCACACACGACCGTTTTTTTTTGTCACTGCATCCTGGATTACATCAGTCAACTGTACCAGGGCAGTTTCTGTAGATCTTCCTGCTCGGTACGCGTGTTGGCTGTGGTGGAGTGGCACCCTCTCCAGGACTTCTGTTCTGATAAAGTTATCAACAGCTTTCTCCATTGTTTTTAATACAAAGGATGTGAGGCTGATTGGACGGAAAGATTTAGGATGTGTGGTATCCTTTTTCCCTACTTTTGGAATAAAGGTGACTCTGGCCCTTCTCCATGCTTCTGGTATATATCCCAGCTCCAGACTGCTCCGGGATAGCCGGATTATGTGTGGTAGTAATTCCTCCTGTGCCTGCTGAAGCAGGGCAGGAAATATTCCATCCACACCTGGAGACTTAAACGGTTTAAAAGTGTTTACGGCCCACCTTAACCGATTTCTGCTGCAAATATGCTTGGCCACTACAGCGGCCTCTCTTGGGGGTCTGCTTACCTTAGTTGTGTCCCTTATTAGAAAAGGTTTGCTTCCAGGAAAGTGAGTTTCGAGTAAGAGGCGAGCTCTTTCCTCCTCACTCTCCGTGAAGCTTCCATTTGGTTTCTTTAATGCCATAACTGTATCAACTCTCCCTTTTGCCAGGACCCTGTGCAGTCTCGCTGCCTCAGGTGTAGAGTTAATATCCTCGCAGAATTTTCTAAAGCTGTTACGTTTAGCTTTCCTGATTTCTTTGTTGTAGGTAGTAAGCGCCTCGGTGTAGCTCTGCCAATCTCCGCTGTGCTTGGCCCTATTATAGAGCTTCCGCACTTCGGATCGTAAGTTTGACAGATGACGGTTCCACCAAGGAGCATCCCTACTAGTCCTATTTCTTTGAATGGGGCAGCTTGATTCATATGCCTCAAGTATTGTCCCATTTAGTTCTTCGAGATCGCTTTCCAGAGCAAGTGGATGCCCCGGCTCCTTTTTTGTCTGGATACGTGCTAAATTTTGTTTTAGAATGGTGTTGTATTTGTCCCAGTCTGTTTTTCTAGGATTCCTCCTGAGGATCGTCTCAGGAATGTCGCTCTCTAACGTAAACACAATTATCTTGTGATCAGATAGAGATGGTTCACTCGATACCCTCCAGTTTTTAACTAGATCTTTAATGTTCGGTGTGCTTAATGTGATGTCTAATACCTCACTTCTTGTCCTTGTTACAAATGTTGGAGTATTCCCAATATTTTGCACAATAAGGTTCTTATTAAAAATATATTCTAAAAGTTGCTCACCTCTTTGATTGGTGTCGTTGCTTCCCCATACAGTGCTGTGCGCGTTGGCGTCGCATCCAAGAAGTAATGGCAGATGTCTTCTCTGGCAGTACTCCACTAGCCTCGATACTTCCGGGGGTGGTACATGCCCATCTCCAGCGAAGTAACTAGAAGCTATTACTATGTCTTGCCGCCTCATCCCTAATTCCAGGTATGCTCGAATTGGAACGAGATCACGCGTCATGAATTCTGAAAGACAAGAATATTTAATATTACTTCTTACTATTATGCATGTTCTGGGTACTTCATCACTAGTGTGATAAATTACCCTTGCATCCTTACATGCAAGTCCTCTTACCTGGTTTCCATAGACCCACGGTTCCTGGATCAATACGATCCCTAATTGATCTTTAGTGAATGTCCTAGATATCACAGCCGAGGCTCCCTTGGCGTGATGGACATTCACTTGGGCGATGTTGATGCCCGCCATTTTCCCTCCTTTAATGGGGGGTGTTACTGTGACGTCAATTTGTGACGTTATTCTGACGTTAATTTATGCCGTTACAGTGACGACAATTGGTGACGTTACTGTAACGTCAATTTGTAAATTTGCTGTGACATCAATTTGTGACGTTACTGTGACGTCAATTTGTAAAGTTGTTGTGACGTCAGTTTGTGACGTTACTGTGACGTCAATTTGTAGAGTTGCTGTGACGTCTATTTGTGACGTTACTAATACGGTGGCTCTGTAGGGATTATAGGAAATAATATTACTAATAAATAATAACAGCTTTTATTATAAATTTGTATAAAAATCATTAAAACTAAACATGACTTCTGAAAAAAATGGGATGCAAATTTCGGCTTTGATAACGGAATTTAAGAACATTGTATATTTTATCAAACGGCACCTGTGCCAAGCACTATCCTGAGCAAAATGGTTAAAAACAAAATAATTTCTATTTAAAAAATCACACAAGACATGACAGCGATAATTTTGTTTACCCTGAAAAATTTTTCCTTGAAAATAACATTCAAATATTTCTTGAGTACACCGTTAAACGGAAACATTTTCTTCCCCTTAACATCGCAAAAAAAACATATATCCATACTTAACAAAAAGCATTTTTTAATGTATCAGTTAAAATTCAAAATGTATGTGATTGCAGTAATTACTAAAGGTATGTAAAACATAAAATTTTATTACCGTTACATTTCTTTAATATATTTTTCTTTAAGATTTTTGGAGGCCTTTCCAATGCACTTTCTTCATTACTCTCATCCTCGCTGCTACTACAAATTTTTTTTTTTTGCTCGCACTCTTTTTCTGGGTGCTTCCTCATCAAATTCTGAATTTAGGTCACTTGAATTTTCTGCCTGTTTTAATTTTCTTCTCCCCTTTTCTAAATCATCTAAAAAAATTACATTCATTTAAAAAAAAATGTAAAAACTTTTTGTTCACTCAAAGAATTAAATATACTACAATCACAACATAGTTTTGTTAAGGTTTTAAAGAATACTTTTTATTCATTTAACATAAATGTTATAAACATTGTTAAAACCCGTTAATATAAGAGTTAATTTTTCATTGGTAGTAAGTTGTTGGAATGATATAATAAAGCCCACAATATTAAATTAATTATAATAATTTTGTCCTGCATATAGAATATTAACAAATGTAGTTTTCTTTAACCGATATATAAAATTTCTGTCACCCATTGACAACAATTTTATAGTTAGAATAAACAAAATTATAACATTTATAGTATATTTTTATCTTCAGCTAAATTATACTTTGTTAATTTTACACAAACAGCTGTAAATTTTACATATCTAATATTACAACAAATGATAAACTTTTACAGAAGAATATTCTTGTCATAATAAAATGATTTTAAAATAAGACTAACAATATAGTATTAATACTTAAATTGTAGGTACTGATATATTAAATCAGAAATGTTATGGGAAATTAATGCACTGTCTACTGTCCACTGTAAACTTGACAAAATAAGTATTACATAAAAACAATATTTTGTTAGTGTTCTACTTCAACGTTTTTGGTTCTTGATGTGTACGGATTTGTCTTATTATTGGAACTAGTTGTAGTAGCCACTTTTAGTTGATATTGTAATGGTTATAAAGAAGATTAAAAATGTTTTCGCAGAAACAACACAACTAAAATAACTTTAAAAAATTGATATTATCAGAGGGGTGACTCTTAGGTAAGTACCTTAATTAATTAAGAATACATATTTTATAAGTAGTAGGTAATTATCGCTACATTTTTCATTGAATTTACTAATAAAAAATTGTTAATATCCAGTTGGTTATACTGTATTCTCCAATTTTATTATTTTTATATCAGTATTAAACTACGAAAGTATCAAACTCTTATTTTACGTGGTGTCAACCATTTACGATGAATTAATGCTAGGCCACCCCCGCATTCATCGGAAAATTGAATGACTAAGTACATGACTAAAATATAAGAATTTGAATGCTCTAAAACAAATAATAAGAGGAATATATCACCTAATAACACTAAAACAAAACGAAAGGCCCGCAAAACTTTGTCGTCTACCTTCCAAATTGAAAGTCATCAAACGAGACACTGGGGCACTGAGCACTAATGGCGGCACTACTATGCACGATTCACGATTATAAGGCGAAGGCGGGAGAGATAGCGGGGGTTTTTTGTTGTTTAGTTTTTCACATTAAAAGTGACCATCTGTCTTTAAAAATGCCACTATAGTGATAAGAAAACACGAAGAAGCTAAACTGGAAAACAATATTTTAAATTAAATATGTTAATACAGAAACGAAGACCGCCATTTTAATTTCAATGTTAACACTACATCGGCGCAAGTCCGAATCAAAAGTAAACCATAACCCAACTTTTTCTTCTTTTCTCTTCTTTGCTTTCTCTTAGTTAGCTGGCACCCAATCGGCGATCAGCAAACTTAATAAAAAAATAAACTATTTTCTCTTAAAGGGTGACAAAAAACTGTTTTTTGTCACTCCGGAAAAATAAAATCACCAAGTTTGTTAACACTTTTATTCGAGTTAAAAATTATGACCATACTGTGACGTATATATGACGTAAAATAATGACGTGATACTGACGTTACATTTATGACGTCTTTGAAACGTCATTTTTAGGTGATGTGACGTCAGGGACTAATTATAACCAAAAAATGACGTCTCTGTAACGTCAGTGTGCTGCCTGGGATACTGCCTGGTGCCAATGACTGGTTTCGGATCGTTGTTGGAACAAATCTTATTTGTTAGGTAGAAAAATGCTGTGAGATTGTACGAAATTTTTTGCGCTGAATTGAAATCTACAGGAACTAAGGGGAGGGCCATATGGAAAATTAATTGTTAAAAAAAATATCCTTCTGTTTGAATTATTTTTCATTAGATACCTATGCCTATTGATAATTTGTTTTATTGTAATAACTTTAAAAGCGACAGTGTTCGGCTTGCGTTAGCTATAACCGCCAACTAAGTTTTCCTCAAAATTTTAAAGTCACTAACCATCAGTCAATAAATTTATTTTTGTTCAAATATCATGAAAGGTACAGGTTTTTTGCAAGAGACAAAAAAGCTACTAATGAATATAGTTTTTCATAAAAAAAATACCATATTTGTTAGGATTAGGGTGGTTTTTACCCTTCCATGATGACAGTTACATTAATTTTTGCTTTAAGCAATTAATCTTCAATTAAAATATATACATACTAAATTTTACAAAAATCGAACATAGCTTTTTTGAGTTATTTAAAAAATCTGAAAATGTTCTTTCAATTTAAAAGCCACCTCACAGGCAAACGAAGTACTACTGTATGATACAGGTAATTTTGGCTCAATTGACTTATTTTGATCTCTCCAACATACACAGAATTTTGGGTCACCCTGTATGTAAGTACATTAGAGAATATGATAAATAAACAACTAAACACTTTGAAAACTATATCCTATATCACACTCGTGTAAATAAGAACCTACTTTCCGTAAACTATCCTATATCACACTCGCGTAAATAAGAACCTACTTTCCGTATAAGATGTTATCTTTATTTTGAGATATTTGATAAAATAGTATATTATAATACGAGTGTGGAAAGTGACATTTTTCACACGAGTGGGAACTATCACACAAGTGTGGAAAATAACTTTTCGCACAAGTGATATTTTTCCTACGACCACAAAATAATTTCATCAAAAAATGTAAAACCAGGTTATTATTATAATAATTAAAATGTATTTAAAAAAGTAATCAACAATAATCGTATTTATTCAATTTTCATATTTTCTAAACAAAAAAAAAACTAAAAAATAATTAAAAAAAAAATTCTGCCCCCGCAAGGATTTGAACGCGGTCGCTCGCCAGGTCTCAAATAGCAAAGTTGATAAAGTTTGATACTCTAACCATCTGAGCTAATAGGCCTTGTGTCAATTAAAGGATCTAATCGGTTATGTGTTTAACCAGAATAAAAAGCAAAAATAACTTAGTTGTTTTAAAATTATTTTAATAATAATTATTAAAGATAAATATCTAGGATCTAATTTACAACAATTTCAATAATTTAACAATCATATCGATTTTAGTATTAATATGGACATTACATAGATCAAAATAAAAATGACGCGTTTGACATTTTGTGACAGCTGATGCGGAAAGTAGCATATTCGTACACAGGTGGAAAGTAAATTCTTATTCATACGCGTGTGATATAGGGCACTTTCCATAGGAGACTATATAGTGTGATCTGTGTCACTTTCCTAAGTGGTCGTAGAAAAAATAAGTTTAAATAGAATGGATTGGAAATTGAATCGATTGTAAAATGTATTGATAGTAAAATGAATCGATTCTAAAATGTGTCCATTGTAAAAATATAATCGATTACAAACAGTATAGATTGCAAAAAGGAATCATTTATAATACTTAAAATGAATCTGTTATAGAACAGAAGAGACAGTTGGAAATGCTTTTGCCAGGTCTCCCACTTTATACACATACATTGACAGGTTGGCAGCGGATCTCACCGAAGTGGACGCGATACATTGGCGTACAAAATTATTTTATAGATGTTAATAGCAATTTCGAGTAAATAGTTTAATAAATTGTGAATAGCTGTTGAAATTTTGTAAAATTATGATTTGAATATTATAATACATGTTTAATAATTATTTATAATCCATAAATACATGCGATCGTCCGGTTCCACCGATAACAATTTAAAATTACTTATTCTATGAAACGACACTGGCAGGTAAACATTACTGCGAAATTCTCGGAGCCGCCCGACGTGGTTTGACGTTTACCCCCTCTCTACCTACCAAAAGACTATGGAGGGTAGAGGAAAGGAGAACAATCTCTGTATACAAAAAGTGTCCCTCAAAATGTATACAATTAAGATGGCGCTTCTGTGCCCAGGGGACGTCGACAGTCGATAATTCAGATCACACAATGACACCAATGATGTATATAGTAATAAATATTAGAGCTGTGGCAAACCGTATGTATTCGTTACTCAGTAACGGGTAGTCGGTCAGATACGAAATACGAATTCGTTACTGCAGTTTAAATTTCGTTACTCGCATCCGCATCGTCGCATAACGCACAATAATACTTGAGAATACATACCGCCACGGTTCGGTGTGCAAGATGCGAGATGGCCCGATGGGCGATGCGAAATGCGAGTGTGGCCTTGATGCGAATCGACTATCGAACCGTACGTCGACTGGGACTCGGAGAGTTCGCAACGTACTTTTGTTTATATTTATGTATTTATTTATTTCAGTTTTAAAGAATAGTATAATAGTTGTTTTTCTGTTGCGTGTTGCAAGAATATAATATGTTTTTGTTCATTAAAGTTATGATTTTATAGAGTATTATTATTGTTTCTACTAGTGTGTTAGAAAAATATATATGTTTCTGTTCAACCTGTCTGACGATATTTTATTTTGCAAAACTTCACATCAGTTCTCATTGCTCATGCTCAGTGAACTACACGACTTTGTTACTAATTACAAATTCGCTATGTATTTATTTAACCAACGATTCGATATCTAATTTCATCCACACCCTCTGTTAGACAGTACCAAAACCTAACAACCGAAGCAATGCGTACGTACGATTAGTTACCGACACCAATTCCGCATCCGCATAGACGTGTATGAGGTCCACACGATGCGTGTTCTGTAGATTCGTATCACAGTAACGAAAGTAACGAGTAACGAATATTTTTATGCGGGTAGTCAAATCCGAAGTAACGAATACATACGGGTATTGATTTTCTCGTTACTTTTACAGCTCTAATAAATATTGCTCAACCATAAAAAACTAAAAACTACACTGTGAAAAGTGACTGATCGTAGAAGAGTAAGTGTTCTGTGATCGTAGATAA